TTGGAGTTCTCCAGGGTCCCTGCACACAAACTTTGATAAAGGTTTGTGGACCTGAAGGGATGGCCAGAGCCCCTGACCCATTGTGACGAGTTAATTCTGACTCATAGTGACCCTAGAGGAAGGGTAGGACTGCCCCCAGAGGATTTCCAAGGCTGTAAATCTTTATGGAAGCAGACTGCCACGTCTTTCTCCTGCAGAGCAGTTAGTGGGTTCAAACCGCCCGACCTTTTGGTTAGCAGCCGAGTGCTTTAACCACTGCACCACCTGGGCTTCTTCTGGTGAGAGCCCCTAGGGCACAAGAATCACTGGATAAACTAAAAAAAAAAAGAAAAAATTCTGATGCCCAGGCTGCACCCTACCGTTTAGATCTGGCCACCTGCCCGGTGGCCCCAGGAGTTCTAACAGCTTCGGGGACCCTAATATGCAGCTGGGCTGAGAACTGCTGTCCTCCTGTGTTAACAGGCTGGTTAGGGTTGGAAAAAGGAGCCCTGGTGGCACAGTAGTTAAGCGCTCGGCTGCTAACTGAAAGATTATTGGTTCGAACCCATTGGCTGCTCTGAGGGAGAAAGATGTGGCAGTCTGCTTCCATAAAGGTTAAAAACCCAAAACCAAACCTGTTGCCGTGGAGTTGATTCCGACCCACAGCGACCCTAGAGGACAGAGTAGAACTGCCCAGAGGGTTTCCAAGGAGTGACTGGTGAATTCGAACTGCCGACCTTTTGGTTAGCAGCCAAACTCTTAACCACTGGGCAACTAGGGGGCAGTTCTACTCTGTCTTATAGGGTCACTGTGAGTCAGAATCGACTCAATGGCAACAGGTCTGGGGTTGGAGAAGACTAGACAGGCATTTGTTATATAAACGGAGGCCTGTCTGCAAGGAAGAAGACTGGGGCCCCCAGAGGGATGCGTTCTGTACCCTCCCCGGCAGCAGCACCCGGGGCACCTGGAGAGCAGGAGGACTAGCCTGTGGTTTCTTCTAGCTCCCCTGGGAGCCGCGGCCCTATTTGTAGCTGTGAGTTTGCTTTCTAGGAAGGGGCAGGGGAGAAGAAAGTGTCAGCTTTGGGGGACGGTCCCACAGCAGGCTGCTCAGTGTTGGGGGATGCGGCTCCCTCGGGGCCCTCTGGCCCGTGCGGTGTGTGCGCTCACTGAAATGCACTCCAGTCTGCTGTGGGCTCTTCTTCCTCAGAGCCACAGACTGGGCCGGGGCCTGGCAGGTCTCCCTTAGCTGTGGCCCGACACTCCCAGGACACCTTGGCATGTGCTGACCATGTAGGGGGGAATCTGCCTTTTCAGGTGGGTGGGTACGTCACCATGTCACCACAAGGCTTCTCCTGTTGGGTCCAGGAAGGCCAGCCCATCCTGAGCCCGATGAGAGAACGCCGTGGCAGAGTATAAAACCTCCCTTTCCTGGATCGGCTCATCATTGCCAAATCAGGTGCCATCAAGTCGACTCTGACTCATGGCGACCCCATGTGTGGCAGAGTAGAACTGCACTCTGTAGGGTTTCCGATGGCTGATTTTTCAGAAGTAGATCGCCAGGCCTTTCTTCTGAGGCACCTCTGGGTAGACTTGAACTTCCAACCTTTAGGTTAATGGCCAAGCACGTTCACTGTTTGCACCGCCCAGGGGCTCCTTGGTAGTGTGTGGGGGAGTGCTAAGTGGATGCGTTTAAAGTACTTTCCACCTCTGGAAAGTGAGTCTGCCTCCCACACCCACTCACACATGTGGTGGGGGCTTCCGTTCACACAGGCTGGTCTACGAGTCCAAAGAGAAATGAGGAACTTGGCCTTGGAAATAAGAGAGTGGCCAGACAGGAGCCCTCGCAGAGCCTGCCGGGAGGTGGACTTGAACAGTCAGGCGAGCCTCCCTGGGCATCTCCGACTGAAGGTTGTCAGGACACGTGGTTTTCCAGTCCACGTCACTGCTCCAACCAGCCACTTAGCGTATAATTGCCCATAAAAGTGAACTTAAATTCCAAGTGATAAAACTACAGCCCCCTCTCCCCGCCGCTGACTCCCTCGCTCTCCACGGGGCCAGGGCTCAGCTTCCTGTGATCAGAGCAATGAGGCAGCTGTAAACACTCATCTGCAGAAGTCGCCTCAGATTGAAAAGCCTTGTTCTCTCAGGTTCGGGGAGGCCATGTGGCTTCTCATTAACTCCTTCCGGGAAGGGGACGCTGCTGTCCCTGGGCCCGTTCGTCTCTCCTGTCCTCCCTCCTGCCGTGATGGGCTGTCGGGACTCGTGGGATGTGTGTTGGGCTACTTTTGTCCAAGTTCAGACGAGAAAGCTAATTATCCTTTGGAACAGCTGAGCGTTCCATGACCCGCGAAGACGCTCCTCCCCCTTGGGTTCCTCATTCACCCACTCGCCCACTCACTGTCCCCAAATATGCTTTTCTAAGCCAAAATTAATCATCTGAACCAATTCTTCCTAAAAGGCTGTCTTAGTTATCTAGTGATGCTATGACAGAAATACCACAAGTGGGTGGCTTTAACAAACAGAAGTTTATTCTCTCACGGTCTAGGAGGCTAGAAGTCCGAGTTCAGGGTGCCAGCTCCAGGGAAAGGCTTTCTTTCTCTGTCTCTCTCTGGGGGAAGGTCCTTGTCATCAAGCTTCCCTTGGGTCTAGGAGTTTCTCATCACAGGGACCCTGGGTCCAAAGATTGTGCTCTGCTCCTGGCACTATTTTCTTGGTGGTAGAAGGTCCCTCTCCTCTCTGCTTGCTTCTCTCTTTTATATCTCAAAAGAGATTGACTCAAGATACAACCTAATCCTGTAGATTGTGTCCTGCTTCATTAATATAACTGCCTCTAATCCTGCCTCATTAACATCATAGAGGTTAGGATTTCCAGCACATAAGAAAATCACATCAGATGACAAAATGGTGGACAACCATACACTACTGGGAATCATGGCCTAGCCAAGTTGATGTAAATTTTGGGGGGACACAATACAATAGATGACAGGGGCTCACCTGTTTTCTTGGATTGCCCATTCACTTATTAACAACCTATTCTTGCTGGGCCGGATCCTGACCTGGCTCTACCATCAAGGCCTCAGTCAGGTGGAGGTGACTTAGTCATCACCACAATGTGTCCCAGGCTTGAGGAGGCACAGAGAGGCAGCTCAGTCTGCCTGGAGTCCTGGGAAGTCTTCCTGGAAGAGGCAACATGTGAGTTAAGCCTTAGGAAATGGGAAGGGTTTTGTTTATCGTGTCAGTTCTGGAGGCTAGAAGTTCAAAATCAGGGTGTCAGCTGTGTTGATTCCTTCTGGAGGCTCCGAGGGAGGATCTGTTCCCGCCTGTCTCCTCGCTTCTGGTGGCTTCTGCGATCCTTGGCGTTCCTTGTTTTGTAGGTCACTCTAATCAGCCTCCAGGGTCCCATGGCTCTCTCCCTCAGGGCCTCTTCTCTTTTACAACGATGCTGCTCATTGGATTAGGACCCACCTTACTCCAGGATGACCTCGTGTTAACTGATAACATCTTCAAAGGCTCTATTTCCAAACAAGGTCACATTCACAGGTGCCAGGGGTTAGGAGAAGGACATCATGCTTGGTAAGGTAGAGGGTCCATGAAAAAAAGGAAGAGCCTTAGTGAGATAGATTCACACAGTGGCTGCAACAATGGGCTCAAACGTAGCAATGGTTGTGAGGATGGCGCAGGACAGGGCAGTGCTTCCTTCTGTTGCACATGGGATCACTGTGAGTTGGAACTGACTCGACAGCGCCTCGCAACAGCAATCTAACAGGGGTTAGGACATCAACATATCTTTGTGGGAGACAAATTCAATCCATAACAGCGCGAAAGGCAGGCATACTCCTGGTTCAGGTAGCTTCTCGCCCCACCTGTGGTTTTAGATGTTCAGAAGCGTCTGAATTTTACCAGACCCGGATTCCACACTGCAGGAACATCACCCCCTCCTCATTTCTGTGGAAAAGAGACAGAGGAGTCACTTTTTGTCCTTTCATTTGTGGTTCTCAGTGGGAGGGCTACCTGTGGACAAAATTGGCATGTCTTTCTGGGGCATCGGTTTTGCTAGAGGAGTTTGGGGAGTGAGAAATCCCACTCCTGAAAGAAAATGCCTCCCTGGCCTGAGCTAGCTCACCGCGCGGGTCCCTGGGGGGCTGGACCTGGTGGTCTCTAGGACCTCTTCCGGCACTGAACTGACAAACCTAAGGTACGCCCTGGGGACAGTGGGGCCTTGCTGCTTCCCGCTTGTGCCAGAGGCAGAGAACGGGCCACATCTGGCCTCAGCAGGAGATGTCGAGGGAAAAATGGAGATTGGGGCTCACAGCTGGCTGGCTGCCTCCACGGCCTTCCTCCTGCCTTTCTGTCCATTCTCTGCTTGGGAGCCACCCCCTCCCCCTATGCTCCCATTATGATCAGCCCAAATCTCCATCTCAGCACCCTCAGGCAGACACACTCTTTGCGGGGAGCTGATCTGCGAAGACCTGTTTAGAAGCCCGCTGCCTGGCGGCCCTGGGGTGAAGGGACAAGCTCAGCAGGGCAGAATTGGGCTTTTCTGAGGCAGGGGGCTTGGGGAGTCCTCAGCTCCAAACACTAAAGCCACTGAGGACCACAGCGGGCGGGAATTGTGAAATTGAGAGAATGGCGCCCCCTCTGGTCGGACTCGGCCCTGCAGAGGGCTATTGTGGGAATTACAAAAGGGGCCGCTTCCTCTGGCAGGTGCAGCCCGCGCTGGGTGCACAGCTTGGCTGGCTGGCTGGACCTGTGTCTCAGCTGACTCGCCCCTCACCGGACTCCCTTGTGCAGTGACAAACCCGTACGACTGTGCACAGCGGCCCTGGCCACTTCCTTCCCAAGGGCCCGCCAGTGCTCACGCGCCAGCCACTGCCCTTTACGGCGCCCCCGACCATGTTCATCTGGGATATAGGAACCGAGTGGGCTCGAGGCCCCCCATAGGCAGGATCGGTTGGGAGGGGGGTTTCTGGCTGCCTGCAGGTCCCTCCTGGGGCTCAGACTCTGAAGGGTTCCTCTCTCAGTAATTTAGGGGTGCCGCCAGGCCGGGGGAACTGCCCGCTGACTGTGCCCCTGCCTTTCGACCTCATCTACACCGACTACCACGGCCTGCAGCAGATGAAGCAGCACATGGGCCTGTCCTTCAAGAAGTACCGGTGAGCACAGGGTCGGGGTGCGGACACAGCTGGCCTCCTGCCTCTGCCCCACGTCCCCGTGGCCAGCTGGTCCTCAGGGTGGGAGATGGCAGTGCCCAGTGTCCTGCAGTGGGGTAAAGGTTCCCCTCCGCCCATCCCCTCACTTTCCTCCTCAGATATGCCCTGCCCCCTGGCTAATGGGATGACAAGGAATAAACCACAGCGAGCATCCCATTGCCCCCTCCGTGGCAGGCTGGGGGGCGGGGGTCAGAGGTGACCCAGATGGGGTGGGGGGCAGAGGAATTGCAGGGAATGGGTCAGCCACCTAGGGCTGTGACCTGTGCTGTGGGGACCTCGGTGGGGGTTGGCTCAGCCCCTCCCCATCCCCCATCCCCTCCCTGTTGGAGGAGGCCAGCGCCAGGGCCTGCCTCTGCAGCCAGCGGGATGCAGGTTTAATTTAGCACAGAGAGCCTGGCTATTTATGACATGTGCTCTTGTCCCATTAACTGTCCCATATGATTTTATTAGGAAAAAAGTGACAGGCAGTGTTATTGCTTTTATTATTAATGCATGTTCTCTATGCACCCGGCCCTCCGCTCCTCCACCCCACCCCTGCCCCTCTCTGGGGGAATAATGCCAACCTCAGCACTCTGCAGAAGATTCTCGGTCGCTGGCAAGGAGGTGGGGTGGGGAGGTGAGGGAGCTTATAGTGGAGGCGACTGGGTCTCACTCCCAGGCGGGTGGAAGAACAGAGGAGGAGGTTTTGGGCTGGGTCTATCAGGGAGTGTCCTCAGAGTCCAGCTGCCTCTGCTGTTGGCTGATCTACTGGGCACAAGATCCCCCTGGCCTTTGAACTTGAAGCCTCTGCCCCTAAGAGATGGTGGGGACAGCAGAGAGGAGGGTAGGCAGGGAACAGAGCTGGGAGGTCCCACTCATGAGGTGGCCACCTTGCCGGGGAGGCCTTGAGGCTCTGCCTTCCCACAGTGGGCCCTTGGGCAGCTGTGGGTCCCTGCAGGCCCTGCCCTTCTGCATTTGGACCCTGATAGATGCGCACAGCCTGGGGTGGGGGTGGGGGTCAGGCTCCAGGGCAGCAGGGCTGTAGCCTGGGTAGACTGCTGCTCCCTGTCCAGAAACATTCAAGTTGCAAAGGTGACACTGGGGCACTGGGGCAGGGACCCCACTCCCGGCAGTGCCTCCCTTCCCTTGGGGTGGCAATAACGCTAACATTTTCAGAGCACTAACCTCGGACCCTGTGCCAGGCACTTCCCCATGACCCTCAGACAGTTTGGCTGTGGTTGTCCCCACTTGACAGACAGGGAAGCTGGCTCAGAGAGGTTAAGACACCTGCCTGTGGTCACACAGCCATGCCGTGTCCAAGCCCAAGCTTGATCACACACCGCACACCCTAACCAGCCTCTGCCGGGGACTCCAGCCCTGGGACATGTGGCTGACTCTGGTTCTTGGTCCTCGGAGTGCAGGTGCCGAATCCGGGTCATCGACACCTTTGGAACAGAGCCTGCGTACAATCATGAGGAATATGCCACGCTGCATGGCTACCGGACCAACTGGGGCTACTGGAACCTCAACCCCAAGCAGTTCATGACCATGTTCCGTGAGTGCCCTGCGGCAGCGGGTGGGGGCCGGGGCTCCCAGAGCGGGCTCGGAGGAGCAGGATCTCCGCCCTCCTCTCTTTCTTCCTGGGCGGTGGGGGAGTGAGGCATGCCCTGGCATCCCCCTTCTCTGGGAAAGACTTCCTCACCTTGCAGCAAATGTGTGAACAAGACCAGAAGCCTTTTGGGGAGCAGGAAGCCTGGCAGGAGCAGCAGGAGGGCTCCCTACCTGGCTTGGGAGAAGTGGGTTGACCTAACCCAGGAGAGCAGGAGATGGCCCCTGCCCTTCAGGAGCTGGCATTCACAGAGAACAGCTAAGCACACAATTCCCGAACAAAGCAGACAGATGCAGTGGCCTTCCAGAGAATGTCAGAGTGTGGCAAAGGGGGCAGGAAAGGCAGGCTTTTCTCAGCCAAGGGAACAGATGTAATAAAGATGGCTGTGGAAAGAACCAGAATGTTCTGGAAATGCAGGAGTCCAGTTTGCTCCTCATGGGGATGATGGGCAATCAGGCTGTGGGGAGGACTGGGGCTCACAGTGGAAATCCTTGGATGATGGGTTTAAGGAAGGAATTCGATCACAGCTGAGCTTTAGCTGTTTATAATGAGACTTTCAAATACACACATGCACTGAACTACCTCTTAAACGAAGACTGCAGAAAATAGTTGAACCTTTTCTTGAGGACTCCCTCCTGTGCGGGGTCTGCCTTCGGGGTGGCAGAGGTGCGGGGCCACGTGTCGCTTTGCTGTGTGGCCCCTTCTGGCCTGTCCTAGCTGGTGTGGTTCTTTCCCTCCTTGCTGGACGGCGGTCAGCTGTCACTGTTGATTGTTGTCAGTAGCTCTGCCTCCGGAAGCATCTTGCGCATCTAATTTGTGGTGCTTTGCAGGCTGCGGGCCAGACAGCCGGGTAAGCACCCTTGTTAGGCTTGTATCTGTATTAGGAGCAAAACCTGCTCTGAGCCAGTCCTGAGGGACTCATTTGTAAGTAAAGTACATGGTCTCTATTTAGCCTGTCAAATGTGGGCATCTCTTTTGGGGTGCCTCGGAGGTTCTTTTCTCTTGCTTCCCAGGTTCTAGGCTGTCTTGGGGGCTGATGAGGTTTCCAAGGAAATAAGGGTAGCTTACTAGGATCCGAGAAGGCTGGGAAGGTAGGAAGCTTCCCCAGAGCCCATGTGGTCCAGATGAGGAAACTGAGGCTCAGAGGGAGGCCCGTCTGAGGTCAGCAGCTCAGTGGGGACCAGTCTCCCACCCCAGGGCCCATTCCAAGATTTCACAAGGCTCCAATGAGGGAAGAGCAACTGGAGTGGGGCGGGTCGCAGGGAGATGTCGGGGGATGATGCTCTGGCTGCAGAAACAGCATACATGATAGCAGAGACCAGAGGGTCCCGAGTCCAGGGCCTTGGGCAATTAGCTCACTGAGAAGGGAAGCAACCAACTCTGAGGCTGGAAAGAGGGACATGGGGGATCCGTCGCCGTGGGGGGCGGCAGGTAGGGTCTTTTAGTGAAGGTTCCCGAGTTGACACTTGATACTGGAATTTGAGATCCACTGTAGGTTCTTGAGCTAGGGATGTCATGGAGAAAAAGTGTTTTGAGGAATTGTCCTGGCAGGCTGCAGATGGCCACAGGGGCAGTGGAAGAGGAGGGAGAAGCAGAAGGTTAAGAGGCTCCTGCAGAAATCTACACCGAGAAAATGAGGACTTGTCCTGGGGTGGGTCCCACTGGATGTGGAGGTCCAAACCTGGCAAACTCCTATGCATCCTCCAAAGCCCAGGTCAGATGTCCCCTCTCATAACCATCACTTTCACTGATGCCCTCATCGCCCATCCCAGGCAGACTGTTTTGCTCCTTCACCTCTATGTCTATAACCCTTAAACCTAATTCTGTAAAAATACATATTGAAATGTATAAGAGTTATTGGTTTAGGGAGACCCTGGGTGGTGCAAACCAAAAGGTTCGAGGTTCAAGACCACCCAGAGGTACCTCGGAAGAAAGCCCTGACGATCTACTTCAGAAATATCAGCCACTGAGAAATCTATGGAGCACAGTTCTACTCTGACATACATGGGGTCGCTACGAGTCAGAACAGACTCCACAGTAACTGACTCTTAATTGCTTATGTATTTATTTCCCCAATAAACGATGACCCACTCAAAACAGGGATGCTGGCTGATTTTCCCTGGAGCCCATCCGGGTGCTCAGAAATGTTAATTGACAAAGGGGACAGAAGAGAAAGGGAGAGGCTGGCCCGTTTTAATAATACAGTATTCAGAGTCCAGGAAGGAATTCTCGAGCAGACCTCTGCCCCCCCCACCACCCCGTCTTCCCCGACAAGCCCGAGTTGATTTCCCCATTGAGCTAACCAGGAGGCTTTTTGCCTCTCCCAGCCTTGCCCTCGCCCTGCCCCCAGGAGCTCTTTGCTAATGATCCCTGTTATTTTAATTGGCTGCAATGCTTCCATGTCCCGCTCCCACTATTTAGCTAATTGTGTTCTAAATCTGTCCCTTCTGGTGGAGTTGCTGGAATGAAGAGCAGTTTGGTGATGGATTCTTTAGCTGCGGAGAAAAGGGGGAAGGCAGTATGTGGGGAGAGGGGCCTCAGGGGAGGGAGGGAGGACATGGGCTGAGCAGGCAGATGGGTCAGGTCTGCCCTCCTGGGCCTTCCTCCCAGGCCTGGGCAGAGCCACCCAGAGGGGAGAGTCTACCTGGCCCTGACCACCTGCAGAGAGAGCTCCAGGCCCCAGGGCCCCTCCTTACCCTCCTGAAGCTCTACAGCAGGATCCTTTTGTTCTGGAACCAGCAAAGGCTCATTCCTACAGCATCAGATTTTCAGACCCAAGAACCAGTGAGCCCCTGGGGTACCGTGACAGGGACCCGCATCTCTTGTAAGATGCACAAACTCTTTATTACAGTCTTTTTGGATGGGGGGTGGAAACACAGCATTCAATGTACACGCTTGATTAAAAGACACACCCCAATTTCAGAAAGGTTAAAATGTGAAGAAAAACGTGCATCTGAAATGGAGAAATTAAGGGATTTGAAATCAGGGCTGTTTTGGAAAATCAAGGATACACGGCTGCTACCAACTCCGTCACCACAGCATCTTCTATGTAGGAAGGCAGATTAAATTTCTTTGGATTTAATAAATATTTAAGATCTGAAGACACGGAAGGAAGGGATTACAGATACCTGGCGCCTGTGCCTACCCCTCTATCCCTGCTTATGGCAGACAGAGCTAATCAGTCATGGCACCTGGGCCTGGCTGTGGGATCGCCCACAAGATAAAATTTACTGCCTGTCCCCCGATATGTTGGGTTCCAGGGGTGGTGGGCAGCAAGTAAGGCAGACGGCGACCTGTGCTGTAACAGAGACCTAGCCACAGCAGATGGGGCGATAAGGGACCTGAAAGTAGACTTCTCGGTGGAGGTGACATGTGAGTGGGGCCTTGAAGGCTGAATAGGAGCGCATTCCGGAAGGGCATTCCAGGCAGGGGGAACAGCAGATGCAGGAGCTTGGAGGTGTGAAAGTTAAGATGTGCTCTAGGGATTCATTCACCCAGCGGGCTGGGCTCTGTTCTAGGTGCTGGGGACACCATAGGGAACAAGACAGAACTCCTGCCCTCATGGGGCTTATATTCTGACAACAGTAGACAAACAAATATCTAACATAATGTCCAGTAGGTCAGTGCTTTGAGGAAAAATGAAGCCAGGTCAGGGGACAGAGCATGATGGGGGTCAGGAAAGAGCTCTCGGAGGGGCCATTTGGGTCAAGACCTGCATGGAGAGCGGGAGTGAGCCCAGGAGAGTGGGGGGGTTGGAGGGAGATGGAGGAGAGGAAGGGGAGGCAGGG